TATTCCGACTGTCTTACTCATTCCAGCCTTTTCCTTGACCTCTTCATCTCTTTCTCTCTCCTTCTCTCTCTCCCTCTCTCCCTCTCTTACTCACTCTCTCTCTCTCTTCTTATTCCTATTCTTCCCCTTTCTCTTATCTCTCTTTTCTTCCACTCTCTTCATTCTTCTGTTTCCCTTAACTTTTTCTTCCTTTCTCTCCCCACCCTTTAATCCTTTCTTTCCCCCTCTTCCCTCTCCCCTTTCCCTAATTCCTCCCCCCTCTCGTCTCACTCCCCTCCCCTCCCCCCCTTCTCCCCTCCCCTCTCCTCCCAACCCCTCCCCCTTCTCCCCTCCCCTCCCCTCCCGCCTGCTTGCAATCTCCCGCTCCTATGAGCTTGCAAACACAGTCTTATCGCCCCTCAACAAAAGCACGACCGCCGGCGGCCGACTCCTTCGCCAGCCGCTAAGAAACTCGAAACGGACAAATAAATAAACATCCATAAAGACGCACCTCCCCCCCCCCAATACCCCACTACCCACCGCCCTTATCCCTGACCCCTCCCCCTCCTCCTCCTCCTAGGTCCCTGCCATCATTCCTTCTCGCCCCCCCCCTCGCCCCTCCCGAAGGCCTTCTGTTCATGTGTGGAGGGAAGTGGAGAGAAGCGGAAGGACACAGATAGGCGTGGAGAGGCGTGGAGGGAAGCGGAGGGAAGCGGAAGGACACAGATAGGCGTGGAGAGGCGTGGAGGGAAGCGGAGGGAAGCGGAAGGACACAGATAGGCGTGGAGAGGCGTGGAGGGAAGCGGAGGGACACAGAGCCAGCGGGCGAGGAGCTCCCCCGTTAGTCTTCGAAAAATGGACAGCGCCTACGTTTTTTTTTTTTTTTAAGGGGTGGTAAAAGTATGTTTGGGGGAGGGGAGGGGCGGGCACAGGAGGGGGGGCACGGGCACGGGAGCATAGGGGGGGGATCTGGGCTAGGCGCCATGTGCGTGGGGAGGGCGCACAGAATGGGGACCTTGGCACCCACAACAAGGAAAAAAGAAAGGAGGAAGACGAAGAAGAAGAAGAAGAAGAAGAAGAAGAAGAAGAAGAAACAGCGCGGGAGAAAATAGCACGGAGAAACAGGATGGCACCTGCCCCTCCCCCTGCCCTCGCCCCCACCCCCTCGGAAGACACCAGAGACACGCCACACATAAACAAACCAATATACACGCGCCCGGCCTGGCTCCCCGAGGCGACGCTCGCGCGAAACGAAGCCGATTTCGGAGCCTTATGCAAGTTCGCACCATGCAACATGGAGAGGGCAGGGTGGGAGGGGAGGGAGAGGGGGGAGGGAGAGGGGGAGGGGGAGGGAGAGGGAGAGGGGGGAGGGAGGGAGAGAGAGAGAGATAGGGGGAGGGTGGGAGGGAGAGAGAGATAGGGGGAGGGTGGGAGGGAGAGGGAGACGGAGAACAGTACATAAGAAGGGGAGCGAGTATGGTGAAGGGGGAGGGGCGTAAAGTGAGGGGGGGAGGGGCGTAAAGTGAGAGGGGGAGGGGCGATGAGTTCACAGTAAGAGTGAGAAGGGGGGCAGGGTGAGGGAAGGTATGGAGAGGGGGGGAGGGGAGAGGGGGGGAGGGGAGAGGGGCGTATGCTAAAGGGGAGGGACGAAAGGGAGGAGGGGCAGAGAGGAAGAGGGGAAGACGAAGGGGAAGAGGAGGAAACGAAGGGGAAGAGGGGAAGGGGGGGTGATGTGAGAAACAACTCCGGTTCGACTCCAAGCCAGCGGGGGAGGGGAGGGGGGGGCGGCGAGGCTCTAGGCAAGGAAAACAAACGTTGGAACCATAAAAAAACGTCAGAAATGTAAAAAGATAAACAAACAAACAAACAAAGGTAGAAAAACGCCAGAAGAGAAGAAACGGCAGACAGGAAGGGCAGGTATACTGGATGACGTCACTCTTCCCCTTAACCGGTTGCGTGGGATATGCAGATATGTGTGCGCGCGTGCATGCGTGTGTCTGCTTGAACCTGAACCCTCTAGAGCAGCGAAACGGGGAGGGGGAGGGGGAGGGGGAGGGGGAGGGGGAGGGGGAGGGGGAGGGGGGGCGGGAAGGGGGTGGGAACGGATAGAGTGGGTTGGGGTAGGGGTGGGTAGGGTTAGGGTAGGGGCGGATAGGGGTAGGGGTGGGTAGGGTTAGGGTAGGGGCGGGTAGGGGTAGGGATTGGTAGCGATGGCGTGGGCGTGATGGGCGTTGTTATAGTTGGTCTTGACGCGCGTGTTTACTAAGCGATCCCGTTTGTTGCAGGCCACAGCCCTCAGGGGCGGGGGGGGGGGTGAGCCCTTTTCATTTACTCATTACACGTTAGGACTCCCTACCCGCTTCCCGTAACGCCAACAAGAGAGAGAAAAATATCCATCGGTAAATAAACAAAGGGTGAAAGGGAGAAAGACGAAGAAGGAGAAGAAGGAGAAGAAGGAGAAGAAGGAGAAGAAGGAGAAGAAGGAGAAGAAGGAGAAGAAGGAGAAGAAGGAGAAGGAGGAGGAGGAGTAGAAGGAGAAGAAACAGAAGAAGGTGAAGAAGAAAAAGAAGAAGAAGAAGAAGAAGAAGAAGAAGAAGAAGAGGAAGAAAGAGGGAACATCCGAGAA